CAGTTTGGTGGGGCAGGAGCAGGCGGAGACAATGGGTCGACCAGGGCTTTCAGGTTTGTGGATTTTGGGAAGGAGATAGAAGCGGGCAGTGCGAGGTTGGGGAACGATGAGGTTGGAGGCAGTGGGTGGGAGGTCACCTGAGGTGATGAGGTTGTGTATGGTTTGCGAGATGATGGTTTGGTGCTCAGGGGTGGGGTCATGATCAAGGGGGTGGTAGGAGGAGGTGTCGGAGAGTTGGCGTCCGGCCTCGGCGATGTAGAGGTCAGTGCGCCATAGTACAACTGCGCCTCCCTTGTCCGCGGGTTTTATGGTGAAGTTGGGATTGGAGCGGAGGGCTGCACGTTCTGCAGGGGAGAGGTTGGAGTGGGTGAGAGGGGTGGAGAGGTTGAGGCGATTGATGTCTCGACGGCAGTTGGAGATGAAGAGGTCGAGGGAGGGTAGGAGGCCTTGGGGTGGTGTCCAGGAGGAGGGGGTGTGTTGGAAGCGGGAGAAGGGGTCAGTAGAGGGAGGGTTAGGTTCACGGTTGAAGAAGTAAGCGTGGAGGCGGAGGCGGCAGAAAAACTGCTCTATGTCCAAGCGTGAGCGGTATTCGTTGATCTGTGGGTGGAGGGGGACAAAGGTGAGCCCTTTACTGAGGACTGACTGTTCGTCCTCAGTAAGGGGGAGGTCTGGGGGGATGGTGAAGCCCCGATGAAGGGTCTAGGCCCGAAACGTCAGCCTCTCTGCTCGGCCTGCTGTGTTCATCCAGCCCTGCACCTTGTTGCCTTTAATTGACCTAATGGCTACCCACCAGCTACCAGGGAGAAATTGCAGGCCTGTCCATCTTCGGTCTCCTGTCTCCCTGACCAGATAGAAAATTCTGCCCAATATTTTTCCAAAAGAACTAGTACACAAATACATAAGTTCTGTTTTTTTTTAAATCAACAATTCAGCATAATAAAAATAATTGTGGAAAATGATAAAGTTAGATTTGGTAGTCACTAGGGTGGAGAGTTCTTTTATCAACCAGCCAATGTATGAGGGGACATTTTCTTCCAAATTGAAAAAGGAACAGAGTGATCAGTCCAGAGGAATACAGCAAAACGCAGAGCATTTGACATTCAATTTCACCTTATAAAGACAAGCAGCTTAAAATAAATGGGAATGAAGCAGGTACTGGCTGATTGAATAAGTGCATGAGAGAGAGGGAGAGTACGTATATGAATACATATACGTATTCATATATGTATATTCACTGCTCCCAATTACTCCCATATGGAGAAAGGTCTTAACCCTATCAAAAACGATATGCCATCCACTGTTAGCTATAGGTTGAACAAGTTGTCAATTAAAAATTGTGAGTGCTATGCCTAAATCTGCAAATGTACAAGCATAGAAATTGCAGATATGGATGGTTATACTGGAATTACACCTGTTGTTAAATTGTAGCACCCAGAATGCAATCTTCAGCTTTTGGTACAGCAAAACCTTTGCTTATATCAACTGTATTTCCCCACTTCAAAAACAGTCAACCACAGAAGACTCAAAACTAAATGACTACTCCAGCCAAGAGGGTTAGAGGAGAGGAAATAATGTGACAAGGCAAGAGGAGGGCAAAAATCAGGAAACTCTTTCTCTGGGTACACGCCAGGATACTTTCTGGAATTTAGAAGAATGAGAGGGGATCTAACTGAAGTGTACCAGATAGTAAAGGGCATTGAAAAATTAGATGTAGAAAGGATGTTTCTTTGTCTAAGGCAATCCAGAATGAGAGGCCATTATTTTAGGATAAGGGTAACAGATGTAAAACAGAGAGGAAGAGTAATTACCTTCACAAAGGGTCATGAATCTATGGAATTCACTTTCCCAGACTGTGGCTGATATTGGGACATTGAGTAAATTTAAGGTGATAGATTTTTAAATTAGTATTGAGTTGAAGGGTTATGGAGGCCAGGAAAGTGGGTTCAGGCCTAGATGAGATCAGCCACAATCATATCAAATGGCAGAGGGGCAGAATAGCCTCATCTTACTCCCGGTTCTTATGTTCTAAAGCTAAAGATTCAAAATTCACTATTTCTTGCCCAAAAAGTGCTGAAGATTTACAACAATTTTAAATCATTTGTTAGTTGGTTGCAGTAAAGTTGCAAGAGCCATGCTACAAGACCAACAGGTACTTTGGCACATAAGTGCATTGACTAACACCACCCATGCAGTGTCAGCTACTATTTTCAGATCTAATGTGGTGATAATTACTGCCTTACTGACCCAACAAGTCCACAGCAACCCTCAGAGCATCCCACCCAGACCCATCCCCAAACTTCCACTCAATATGGTCCTACAATAATTGTTTTATATGTTTATATTCTTTAAATATTTTACCATGTTTGGTACTCGTTGCCAACACCTTGTAGGGCGTCAATTTCAAATCAAGATTTTCTTTCCGTAACAGCTGCAAAACATCATGTAAGTTTAAAAGAAAAAAAAAATTGACAGAACTCGGAACACATTGAACACTAGTAATTCACAGATACACACATTCAAGAAAAGGTGCCGTAAACATTCAAAAAATGGATATTTATATTCCTGTTGCAATCCAAGTTCATTGCTTTGGTATATAGCCCTGGAATCCTGGTGAACACCACTGCACCAGAACTGAGATAGGGCAGGTTTCCACACGCTGGCTAACCCAATGGAAATCATTGGTTCTAATGAACCTCCATATTTTAGATAGTTTGCCACAAGCCTGGGATGGGTTGGAGCATATTAAGGACGTGGGAGGAGACAAAGTACAAATTACAGAATTCCAAAGTAGTAACTGAACAAAGCAAAACTGCATTCTTAAATTCTCAATCCAACCAGATTTCGAAAAATGACACATACAAACTTAAGAATTAATGAGATTTACTGTTCAACAATACAGGGGGTTTTGCTATAACGTGTGCTCCACCAACGCGAATTGGCAATAACATGATTGACGAATAGGGGAACACTATTTTTAAAACGTGAACTTGCATTGGCTATAACGCTATTCCATCTGGTACGTGTTGACATTGTGGGCTTTGTCAAAGGAATATCTATTTGTTTTTTGATCCTTGCAGATGGTGTAAATGTTTAGAGTAAGTCATAATGAGCTCATCTGAAAAAGGTAATTGGATTGTATACCTCAAATATAAACCTCAAATACAATATCACACAGAAAACGACCGTCTAATTAGGGAACAATGTGAAGTCTCAGTTTGAAGAGTTTGTGCTGAACACATTAAATGCGCAAAAATGGATGTATAGTTTAAAACGAGTGCTGTTAAAACATGCACCTTTGTGCGTAGTATTTTTGCCTAGATTTAGTTACTTATTTAACATAAGAACTTTTGAATTTGCTTATGTAAATCATTTATACCAAAAGTTGTCTGTGTGACAACCTGCTCTTTTTCAGCACTATTTTGAATACAACGTTACTCAGGTTTATAATGCATTTTAATCCTACAATTAACTTCAATGTCTGTGGGCTACATTGGAAAGAAAGGTCAGAGTCCTCTGCTTCACTTATCTGAAAATCTGTGCCGATGTGCTGAAGTCTGTGCTGATGGAATGTCAGGTCAGATCAGCACTGGGCTAGGCTGTGATGCAGACTATGTTGCAGGTGATAGATTTTATTTGATTATTAAGTGTCAAGGTTCACACAAGTGACAGGCATTGTGCCAACTTATAGTAGAGTGGTGAGAAAGAATTTTGAGTGATTTGAGTGATTTGGTGGTCTTTTCCTAACCCTGCTTTTCCCATAGGCCCTGTTATTTCAATATGCTGATTTTCTATAATGAGATGTTGCGCTGGAATACAACTACTACGTTATAGCAGAACGCCCTGTACACAGAATTTAATTTCAACACCAACCAACACTTTTTTCAAAATGCAATTCAGTTGAATAAATGCAAGTTATCAAGGAACTACTCACTATGGGCAGTGATCCTCAATTTATAGAAAGATGAAATAAACTGAAGTTGGGAGTGGACACTATCATGGGCAGCAGCTAGCAAACAAGTGCTTCACAATGATAGAAGTCTGTCCACCTGGCTGTTGTATTATTCAAGACGAAACTAATTTTATAAAATGGTTAACAGTCAAACATGTAGTCTAGTATCGTATAATCAGAGAACAGATTTACCTACCAGCTAGGTGAGCTTTTCAAACTGTTGCCACTTTCTCATTTAACTGTTTTAAAATGCACTACATTGACTTGCATAACTGTTAATATATTGTTTATTTTAAAATGAAAATTTCCGCAATTTCAACAAAACAAGCTTTATTGAAGTGGACAATTTTTAAATCAATCAATTTTTAAAAGTTGGTGGGGAGCAAATGAAAAATTGAACTAGAAAATACATAATTACTTTGGATACAGATATGCTCAGCACGTTAAATAACGACCTATCCTATCTGGATCCAGTGGTTCAGAAATCATAGGTTTTGATCAGCATTTGTAATACTATTATTGAACAGCTTAAGAGTTAAGAAATGTGTGAAATAGGAGTTATTTATATATTTTAATCAATTGGTGTGTAAACAGCCTCCTAAAATCAAATTAAACAAAAATAGGAGGAGCTATTCTTTTGTGTATGTGGACATCATTCGCAACATCAGTATTTCTTGCCATTTCTAATTTCCCGAGAAGGAGACTGGGTTTGTCTAACTTTTCAATTACAGACCGTTTTTGAGCATCTTTTCACTTTAGCAGGCAGACATCAGTATTGAATTTGTACAAGAACACCTTGACAAATTAAAACAGTTAGTCTTGTAGAACTACAGTTCTTAACACAGCTTGTATCCCTTGCATGCTCACTTGTGTCTAGCTACAAAAGATAGTAAACATTATTTATGGGTTCAATAATTTAGGCTGATGGCTGAAACATGACTGAAAGGTGGGGATTAGGGTTGACATATGTCAAATATATACAAGAGCAAATTTTTTACAATGGAAAACAGAATTGTCTTATAGGCTATGATTTACATTGATAAATTTTGTCAATGCAAAACACATTCATGCTGATTAGTGGTAATTAGGACAAATGGTCAAATTTTCCTATACATTTACACAAAGTGCTGAAAAAAATCTATTAGGCTTTTACTAGTGAAATATTGCATTTAACTTGCTTCTTACCTTGTCCATAAGAGAGATGATCTGAAGAATAAGCTGATCCTGACGGAGATCATCGCCATGTTTGAATATAACAGGATATTTACCTCCATCTTCAGTTTTAAATATCAACTTTGCTGGCATAAGTGCACTCTGAAATTATAAAATGATTCTTAAGCAGAAAGGGTAAAGGTGGATGGGTTGACAAAGAGGAAGAAAGTTATTTTTATTTAATATATCTCCTTATGCTTTTCTCTCATCACAAAACTTGTCGCCTTGCTGTACTGCTTTGGTGTCACTAATGGAGCATGTCCCTTACCTACAAACATGGCCTCACATCAACCTAGGACATTAACTTCAAATCAACTAGAGAGCCAATAGGAAATATAGGACTGCAATGAAGTGCTATACAGGTAGTTCTCCTATAATGCGATAGTTGCGTTTTTGTGTAACCTTATGCTATACAAAATCACATTATGGGGAAATCGCTATACCTGTACAGCAGAAAGTCTGCATTATCCAAACAGCATCCACTATTCTTCAATCGTGTTAGAGAAACATGCATTACAAAACTACCTGTACATAAATGTTTCCCATTCTTTTAGAAGTCATAAAAATAAAGGGGGTGGGGGTTGCTTTGAATGGAAAGTATTAGTCCAATAGCATTGCCTTTTAATTCCATTTGTGACAGAAACAAGTAGAAACATTGACAAACAGAAATTTGAATTAGATCATATGCAGATAATTTTGCCTGAATTCTAAATTCAATTTTTAACTATGCAGTTTAGATTAATAGAAAGTTTAATTTATTGCTATTCTTCATTCAACAAATGTGGGCATCACTGGTTTGGCCAGCATTTATTGTCATTTCTTAATTGCTCAAGAAGATGGTGGTGAGCTGCCTTCTTGAACACCTATTGTCCATTTAGTTTACATGCACCCACAATGTTGTTGGGAAGGGTGTACTGGGATTTTGACCCAGCAACAGTGAAGGAAACCTTGGCTCAAAGATTGGTGTGGGAGAAATGGGTTTGAATTCACGGGAATTTTGAGGAAGGGTCACTTGACCCGAAACATCAACTCTGATTTCTCTCCACAGATGCTACCAGACCTGCTCAGCTTTTCCAGCAATCTCTATTTTTGTTTCTGATTTACAGCATCCACAGTTCTTTCGATTTTTAACACTTACTGCTGTCCCTAGTTGCCTTTAAAAGTGGCAGTGAGCTACCTTCTTGAACTGCTGCAGTCCATGCGCTGTAGGTAGACCCACAACGCCATTAGGGAGGGAATTCTAGGACTTTGAGCCAGTGAAGGAACAAAGGTACGTTTTCAAGTCAGGATGGTGAGTGGTTTGGAGGGTAACTGATAGGTGGTGGTGTTCTCATGTATCTGTTGCCCTTGCCATTCTAGATGGAGGTGGGTTGGAAGGTGCTGTCTAAGGGTCTTTGGCAAATTTCTGCAGTGCATCTTGTAGATAGAATACTGCTCCAACTGGGTGGTGGTGGTGGTGGTGGTGGAGCCAATCAAGTAGGCTCCTTCATCCTAAATGCTGTTAAGCATCCCAAGTGTGCATACAACTACACACATCTAGATAGGTGCAGAATAGTCCATTATACTTCTGCCTATCTACAAGATGCAAGTCAATGGTATTCACCAGGATGTTGATAGTGGGGGAATCAGCGATGGTAACATTAAGCGGTGGTAGTTAGATAGTCTCTTATTGGAGAATGGTCATTGCCTGGCATTAGTGTGGTACGAATGTTACTTGCCAATTTTTAACCCAGGCCTGGATATTGTGCAGGTCCTGTTGCATATGAAAATGGACTGCTTCAGTATCTGAGGAGTCATGAATAATGCTGAACATTGTGCAATCATTGGTGAACATCCCCACTTCTGACCTTATGATACAGGGAAGCTTATTATGAAGCAGCTCCAAATATATTGGGCCTAGGACACTACCTTGAGGAACTCCTGAAGATATATTTTAGCGATGAGATGACTGACCTCCAACAAGCACAACCATCTTCCTATGTGCCAGGTATGACTCCAACCAGTCTGTTACCTTATTGCCATTGATTTCAGTTTTGCTAGGGGTCCTTGATGTCACCCTCAGTCAAAGGCGGCATTGATGTCAAGAGCTGTGACTCTCAACTTACCTCTGAAATTCAGCTCTTTTGTCCATTGTTGAACCAAGGCTGTAATAAGATCAGGAACTGAGTGGCCCTGGCAGAACCCAAACTGGGCCTCACTGAGCAGGTTGTTGCTGAGCAGATGCTGCCCGACAGCACTGCTGATGACACCTTCCATCTCTTGACGGATGATTGAGAGTAGACTGGTGGAGGCGTAATTGATTGGATTGATTTGTCCTGCTTTGTATGTATAGGAAATTCCAGAGTACTTAAGAAAGTGGCCCTAGAAACTGTGGATACATTGGTGGTCACCTACAGCTGAAGCAATACAATTCATCAGGCATAGCTCCGAGAAGTACTTTGTCATTTCACTTTCTCTCAATTTGGCAAAGATAACTATCATTTTCTACATCACAATGTAAAATTCTTTTTTCTCAGCTAACAATTCCACTCAGTGGTCAGAAGGGCACTCTCCTATTGATCTTCACTACTTCTCGTGATGATTTGCTGAAGCATGCTCTTTTGGTCACATTTTCTTTCAGATTTGCACATGCTTCCTCAGGGATATCAGCGAGAGATTTGGGCTCGGATATTTACCGAGCAGGCTTGCAGCAAAGGAAGAGTGGCTGTCAACAAGAAACCTGCAAGTTCATTCCGGGTTTTAACTTCAGGCAAGTGAACCTCTTCCTCCTCACAGGCGTGTTGGCCAAACGTCCAAAGAGCAGCAGAATTTTCGTCCTGGTGGGGCGAGATCATGGCGGTATCACAGTTGAGGGGCTGATTTTCTGGGCTTGGAAGGAACATTTAGTTTCAGGCAGTAGTACTGTTAAAAAGTTTCTTATGGATTTAGGCTCATCTCCTTTCACCTTTAGGGTTTAGGGAAGCCAGCAAGCGAAATAAAATAAGGAAGGCTGTGGCCAGAAAAGGCCAGCACACAGTGGTTTAAGGATACAAGTCTTAAATTGAAGCAGGGAGCCACCTTAAAAAGTTAATGCTGACCTGCCTGAATTGGGAACAGACTGCTCCTACCCCTGCTTCCCTTAAAACTAGGTTTGAGATGGCTTGGTTTCAAGTTTAAAATTTTGACTTCTCACCTACTTTTGGGGCAAAAGGGGTTAGCTTTTTATTGATTCCTGACAATAGTAGTTCTACTTCTATACTTCTGACTCCGGACTTGTCTCAATGCAACATGATGGCACTGTCTGCAATTTTTCATGTTCACAATTTACCTTACATCTGTAATTCTTTAGAGATAGCCAATATCACTAGTCTAGACCAGGATGTTGTAGCTGTGTAGCGATATTTACAGAATTTTTCCAGTAGCTTGTAACATCCATCAAAAGTTAAATACAAACTCTATTTGCTCGAAATAGGGCAGTGAATTTGCCAGTAATAAAGCAAACTCTCTTCTTACTGTCTACTGTTCTTTAGGCAAACCAAACTGAAAAGCAATTCTGAATAAAGATTACTGCTAGGCTATTGAAAGAAATTATACCAGAAACTTTTTTCCAATTAAACCACAAGTTAAAATTACTTAAAACCACGCACACAATAAATCACAACCTCAATTTACCTTAAATAATGTTGCTTTTTCTGGGATGATACCCCTGATTTTAACTTGTGGCTCTAAAGGCAAAGGTATAGGTTCAATTTCTGATAAATTTACTTTTTCGTTGTCTGCCAATAACGTCTGCAACCTTTCAATCTGGATGGGGAGAACAAAAACACAAAACATTGTGAAAACATGAGGAAATGGGGCAAGTTTTGAAGTCAAATAAAAGCACAAAGTGAATGGAAAAGCAACGAGGGCAAAAGGTCACACCTTCAAAAGTGAATTAACATGTCATTTTCCATAGTCTCTTATTTCTAGAACCTTGCACAAATTGGCTGCTTTATTTCCCCAAATTACTGGCTGTAGCTTGAAAGTGCATAATTTATAGAGAAGCATTTTAGCAACAAAGAACACCCTGAGATCATTATGGAGGTTTTAAAAATGAAGTTACTTTTCCAAGGAATAGATCCCATGATCCATCAATTTTTCAACCAGGTACTTAAGCTGCAGAGATAGCACTAAACCGGCAGCTCTTATTACACGAAACATGAGCCTGCACAAGCAACATGTTTAAGAAGGGAAAGATTTTTTTAAGAGTACTGAAAGACAGACTGTGAAGCATTACATTGAGTAGGATGCCTGCAATTTACTCGGCACTTACAGTAACAGCACTAACCTACTGTCTGCCATTGGGGTGGCTATGAGATCAATAAGAAGCATTGATCCATACGGACTCCAAATGAAAAATGTAAATATTTCAAATTTTTCATTTATTTGTGGTGAGACTATGGCAGTATTCTTTTTGGAAAACGGAAGCTATAGTTGCTGTCCCGTTAGATGATGCCACTGATACAGGCATTCTTGCATGTTTCACTTCCCCAGCCTGGACAAATGAGGGCGGCTAGTGCCAGGAAGGGCACATGGCTGTAAACTACTCACCAAATTCAAAACTAATGGTTGATAGAAACAACTGGTATTGGGACAACCACGCATACCGAAAGAGGAAATAAGCATCGGAATAGTTTGTTAAAATTTGTTCAAAATCCAAGCTTCACAACACAAATACGAAATATACACCAGTGTGGATGGCCTTAAAACATTAGGAACTAAAGGAGACTCAGTTTATTTAGATAGAATTGTGAAATTACTTACAATACTTAACGATGGAAGAAAACACTAAACTCGACTAGGTGACAACTGCTGATCTCCACAAGAATGGTAAAATATCGATGGATAACAATTTTCATTAGTCCACGCTTTCACATTCAGTTATTGTTCTGCTCTAATAGTTATATAAACTATAAGCTGCTTTAAAGATAATGGTGATTATTTTAGCACAAAAATTATCAAAATTCTCAGTATGGAGGAGGGATCTCAGACTAAAAAACCTGGTAACAAAAATTAAGCGTCATAACAATTGTTACAAGAGTATCAGTCTTCTAGCTGGATACTAGATCGGTAAAATACAAAGTGTCAAACACTTTCAACACAGAATTCACCTCATTGTGTCTGCATCAGTCAACAAAGATTGACTACACTCATCCCATTTCCAGCTTTTGGCTCTTAACCCTGGAGTCCATAGCAATGCAACTGAATATGTAAATACTGCTCGAATTCTACAAGAGGTTTCTTACTGAACAAACTTTTCAGACAGTGAGTTCCAGACTCCTATCACCGAGACTGAAAAACAATTCTCAACCCTCCTCTTAGAATGGAAAAATGTCTTCCTATTCACCTTATCTATGACCCTCAATTTTGTACACCTACATCAGTTCCTGTCTCAACCTCTACTGTTCCAAGGAAAAGAACTACAGCCTTTCCCATCTTTCCTCAGAGCTCAGGCTTTCCAGCCCAAGCATCATTCTGGTAAATCTCCTCTGTACCCTCTCTAGAGTGATCACTTTCTTCTTATTATGTGGTGATCAGAGCTGCATACAATACACCAGTTGTGAGCTAATCAGTGTTTTAGACAGTTAAAACTTGTAACACTAATCTCAATGAGTTAAATTATAAGTCTCTTGAAACAATAGAAAGAAATTTATACTTAATCAGTCAAATGTTTTCATGCAAAACATAAGAAATCAACTTCCACTTTGACACATTCAAGAATGTTGACAAAAACATTCATCTGGCGCAAATATATAATTGAAATAAACAGTTTATAATATACGGGAACATAGCATAAACACCAATGCTATCCAAATTTACCTTTAGGTGAACTAATGAGCATGGTAAAAATACCTTTTTCTTCCGATTCCCACTCTCTCGTTGAACAGCTTTCATAAGATGCACTAGTCGATCCACAAATGTCTGTTGAGCAGCGAGAAGAGAGCGCATAACTCTCACATTTTTGTCTCCCTAGTCATTGAGAAAAAAAACATTTAAACAGGTTACCTAATAGTTAATCAAACTAACAAAGTCCAATTCTCTACAGTAGTTATCCCAGAAGCAGCTTTACTTAATTTTTTTCAAGCTGTAACATACATGCTTCAATGGGAAACCAACAAAGAAACTTGTTGAATTAGTATAGTCAAGTCCATCCTGGGGATAGCAGTCTCTCAGAGGACCAGGCTAGACATGCAAATCTAATTACCAATCTTTTGAGGAGGTTGGGGGGTAGAGAAATCAATTAGGATGGATACCAGTAGGTCTAAAATAATGTTCGAAGGAACTCGGGACAAACGGTGTTCATTGGTCAAAATAAAATTTGCAATTATCCAAAACATTTGCATACAGCAAATCTTTATTTTGTGTAGAAATCACTCAATACAAATTTACATCACAATCGTGATCAGAATTTTGTTTTGACTCTTAGCAGATATCTTACGGCATCACATACAGGTTGACAAATATACACTGTATTACAAACTTAATAACAATACTTTAAGTTATTGAAACAATTAAAAAATGTAAAGTTTAGAAAATCTATCATTTAAAACGTTAACCTTTGCTTAATAAGTCCCTTTATTGGGTACTTTGCAAATTCAAATGAGGTCAACTAAAGTTTCTGCATTTGCATTATTCAGTGCCAATTGTTCACCTCATTGGGAAGGTGTGGAAAATTGCGAACAAGCAAGCTAAGATGTGAAGATTCTGGCAATTAGTGAAACAAATTATTTTTAAAACATCCAAGCATAACAATGCAAGCAACAATGGCTTCAAAGAAGAATCTTCCTGAAGCAAAAACCATAACTATTTTGCTCTTTGCAGATAATGCTAGACCTGCTGAGTTTCTCTAGCACTTTCTGTTTATATAAGAGATCTCTCTCATCTGCAGGAATTTTCTTTTAGTACAATGTTGGCTCACCTCAGTCACACGTAAAACTTTTAAGTGCTCCTGCCATTTTGTCAAATATGAGAACATAAAAATGAATTACAGAAGTTGGGACAGTCTTCCTTCAAAAAGAGAAGGCTGACGGGAAATTTGATAGGGTATTCAAATTCACGAAAGGTCTAGACAGAGTAAAACGGGAGAAACTGTTTCCACTGATGAAAGGATAAAGATAGGCTGCCTATTTAGAGTAATAGCAAAAGGGTGAAAAGCGATATGAGGCTGAAGAAGGCTGGCGAATGGGACTCATTTCAAGAGCTGGTGCAGATGCAATGGGCTGAAGGGCCTCCTCCTTCTGCACTGCAACAATATTGTCATTGTGGAAGAGAAAGAAGCCTGCCCCTGTAGCACAATCTAGCGACTTTCGCATTCATAACATTAACGAACATAAAAAATTGTGATAATAATGCCCACATACAAATAGCTCTAATGTCAGAAAGGTGCATTCTCAAGATTGACTTATATTAATTAAATAAATAGTCTTCCAAGCCAAAATGCAGGTTACTACTGCAGCCACATTCCTATCTGTTACAGTAGAATTAATTATCTGATCTCACAACCCCATAATAAAAGAGAAAGTAATTGTCATACCTTTAGCAGAGCTTGACTAAACCTCCTCATCACATTCAAATACATCTCATGAGTTTTTGGGTCACGTTGTTGAGTATCCTGATCTTCACATTCTACAATAACATACCTTAGGAAACAGGATAAAGAAAACATAGCTTAGAAATACAGTACATGAACAGAAGAACCAAAAGGTCACAAATATAGTACATTTATCATGATAAAAACATCACCACTGAATCACTTTAATTCAACAAAATAATCCTTATACTATATTCAGTTAAATACATGCATGTTTCTTCTGGATATAACTTGATCTGAAACCATTAAACAAAACTAGCTGTATATTTCAAATAAATCATACAATAAATTATGAATGCCTGTTTTGGTAGGAGTGAGAGAAAGTACAGTCCTGGAATATCTATAAGGCAGAGGTAGATAGCTTGCTGATAAGCAAAGGGTTGAAATTAGGCGGGAATATGGACAATCAGATCAGCCATAATGTAATTAAATGACTGAGCAGACTTGAAGGGCCAAGTAGTCTACTCCTGCTCCTAATTTGTATGTTCACATGTTGGCTTGTGTAAGATATATGAGAGAGATGGGTGGAGTGCAGTGTCTCTTTGCAGTCTCATGACTCTAATCATCATAACGTATGTTTCTACTCAATTATTGACGTTGCATGTGTATTAATTTGTCTCAGGATACAAAAGGTCAATCAGGTTTCTGCTGTCTCAGTGCCAGGTACCTTGGTTCAATTCCAGCCTTGGGTGACTATGTGGAGTTTGCATTGTGACATTCTCCCCATATCTACATGGGTTTCCTCCCACAATCCAAAGATGTGCAAGTCACATTGACCGACCATGGTAAAATGCCACGTTGCGTCCAGGGATGTACAGGCTTGGTGGGTCAAGCATGATAAATGTGTGGTTACAGGAAACGGTGGGGTGCTCTTTAGAGGGTTGGTGCAGACTTTAATGAAAGGAATGGCTCCTTTCTGCACTGCAGGGATTCTAGGATGCATGGGAAATTGTGTCTTACAAATTTGATTTGAGTTTTTTGAAGAGTTGATCAAGAAGATAGACGAAGGCAGAGCGGTAGACATTGTCTATGTGGACTTTAACAAGGCCTTCAACAAGATTCTGCACGGTAGACTGGTTAGGAAGGTTAAATCACATAGGATCCAGGGAGATCTAGCTAAGTGGATACAAAATTGGCTTATTAGTAGGAGACAGAGGGTAGTGGTAGAGGGTTGTCATTCAAACTGGATTCTCAAACATTTTTCAGAACAGGTTGAAGACATGAGTTGGGTGACACACTAACAACTTCAAAATATATAAAAGAGCCACAACTCCTGACAGCTATAAGCCCAGATATGTGAAATCCAAGAAAACAAGTCCAAGCAGTTCGCTTAAGACATTTAAATTTCAGCACCATTAAAAATTATCCAAAAAGTATCCTTTTAGTGATCTTCTAAAAGAAAAACAAGTTCATAACTTCTGTCTTTCAAATGATCCAATCGCACAATCATGAAAAAAATTAAATATGAAACAATTAATTGATGCATCATAGCAATATATTAACTTCTATGAAGTAAATTTAAATCAATAGCCCACAGCTGAAATTCTAAATGTCATGATTAAACACTTTCCACGATTTATCATAAAAACAACCTTTCCCAAACGCAAATTTGTCAAAAACTAAAATGCTCCTGCAATTAATATAACCAAACAAGCTGCAAATCCTGATGCTTCGGGAAATCATATTTCTCAATCTATTTGATGTTCCACAAAGACAACCAATAGCTTGTGATGAAGTAAAATCAATACTCAAAAGAAGAACAAGGTACTGGTCCGACATAGGAAACACACAATCGCCTCAGTTGTCTGAAGGAACTTACATTCGAATGTCAAAAATCAGAATGAGGCCTTAAACACAACAGACTACGAAAATTTACAGGTGCACCAAAAACACCTTGTGGTCTCACTACTCATCACCTTAAACCTTTTCCCAGACCCACAAAATGAACCACTTCTAACCTCCTCACTCTGGCTACAGCTATCAATCTTTCTCTTCATAAGTATTCAGTTACCTGGAAGTAACTCTGAAATTCACTGATCCTCTTCATCTTATATTGCCTCCTTCAATATTCTTCTCAAAAGTTACCTTGTTAACCAATCATTTAATCAACCTGCCTAATATTCATTTTTTGACACATGACCCATTTCTTTCGGATTTTGCATGTAGGAACCTTGAGATTGATTTCCATGTGCAGAATTCTAACTGTTATTGATACTTTACACTGAATTTTTCCAACCTAACCAACTGGGCAAAATCACATGAAGGAAGCTCTGACATAGTTCCAAACATTTCCAAAGAGAATGCCATATGCACAGAAAGGGTGTACTGCTTAAATGTTCACCCAATTTAAATGTGATTTTCTTTCACTGTTTCTTTTCAAATTGGAAAGGAACTAGTTTTTTTACAGAGCAAGCAAATAATATGGGAAAACCACTTAGATCGATAATATTGTGTTGTGGCATCCAAATACAGCATGAGGTCTGTGATGTTCATCTGTTTCTTTCTCAGCAGTTTACATGCAAGTTTCTATTTAGAAAAGACCAAAGGTATAAAGAAAACCATAAGAAAGATTCTGTAAGGTTCTCTATTCTCATCAAATATCATTTACTGACTTAGGGTGCGTTGCAGAAAATTAAGTCTGAAGAAAATCCTCAAGTAAAATTCAAATCACTTACCAGTATAAATAGTTGGCCAGAGTGGAATTCCTACAAGCTCTTGATATCAGAAATGCACAAAGATCTTGCTGAAAAAAAAAACAAAAGTCAAATCATCGTTGAACTATTAATTGAAGAAACTGTCATCCGAAGGAGATGACTACGACTAAGGAATTGGTTCGTTTCTTTTACTAATTGACCACTTGTCCCAACAAACTACTCTATTTTGACAGATTTACTTTCCTATGCTGATCAACATAAACAATTCTTTGCCTAAAAATACATCTATTTATCTCTTGAATCAATTCACAGACAATTTCTTAAATTACTTTATGTTTTAATGAGACAGGATATGAAATTAAATAAACACAGAAAATGTTGCAAATACTCAGCAGGATTGGAAGCAACTGCGGAGAGGGAAGCAGAGGTAGAATTTCACAATTTTGACTTTCATTACTGTGTTTGCTGCTCAGGACGCAGTCTCCTTTATATTGAGGGTCCCAAAATTCATACTGGATGAACACTGCTCCAAGCTTTCAGTCACTTTAACTTTAGTGCTTGGTCTACTCTCGCTTGAGCTTGGCCTCCTACACTATTCCAATGAAGGTCAATGAAAGATTGATCAGCAGTGCCTCTTTTTTCAAATGGGGTATTTCACAGCCTTCAACACAGAGTTCAACAGCATCAGATCATAACCTTAGCCACATCTGTTCAAGATGGCAGTTCATAGCAAATGCTATTTTCCATTTACACCTTCTTTAGAAGTTTCTTTACTGGTCTTGTTAGCATCATCTTTTGCCGTGCATGCTTAAATCTTATCATTTTCTTTGAGGAAAACTGCCTGGAACATACAGTCCCACTTAGGCATATTACACAAAAGATATTGCTGCCCTTAGTATTATAATGTATTGTCACCCAAATTAAAACCCAGACAGATCAGTGCTAGAGCTACCAACTGAAATAAGAGATGTTATCTTATTTGACTTTCTGTTGAAGGCACAACTGGGCTACTAATTTTGCAATAACTTCTAATGTTCTTTTCAATGTTTGTGTCAATCATATAGAATGGTCTCCATTTTGTCCATTAGCCCTCCCTACAAATAAATACAATTGTAAACAATTAGGACAATGTCTTAATTGATCTATCAAAATTAATTATCATCTTATCTTGTTGCATTATTTTTTAATTTCTATTTTCACTACAATCATTGATTAAAGATCTTGCCTCAAGAAATCTTTCAAATTTTCCTGCAATATCCCAATCTAAAAGTAATACCTATTCTTAGTTTCTATTTTTATAGTAAAATCTCTACCCATATTGCACAGCTTCCATAGTACACACTCTATACTGGAGCCCCCCAAGGATGTGTCCTCACTTGCTACTGTACTCCCTGTACACCTACGACTGTGTTGCTAAACTCTGAATAAACACCATGTACAAGTTTGCTGACAACACCACCGTAGTGGGACGGATATCTAACAATGACACGTCAAAATACAGAAGGGAGATAGAGGACTTGGTGACATGGTGCAATGAAAACAATCTGTCTCTCAGTGTCGGCAAAACTAAAGAACTGATTATCGACTTCAGGAAGAAAGCAGAACACACCCCGATTTACATCAACAGAACCGAAGGTGAGAGGGTGAACAGTATCAATTTCCTCGGAGTGACAATAGCTGACAACCTGTCCTGGACTGCAAACCTAGATGTGACAATCTAGGTACAACAAATCTTCTTCTTCCTTAGGCAGCTCAGGAAATTTGGCGCGTCTATAAGGTCCCTCACCAACTTCTACAGATGCACCATTGAAAGCATACTATCCTGGTGCATAACGGCCTGGTGTGGCAACTGCTCTGCCCAGGACTGTAAAAAAACTACAGAAGGTGGTGTGCACAGCCCAGACCATCACAGAAGCCAACCTTCCATCCATGGACTGCATTTACATGGCTCGCTGCTGCAGCAAGGTGGTCAACATCATCAAAGACCCATCACACCCTGGTAGTGATCTCCTACAACCTCTGCCACAACCTCTCCCATCAGGTAGATGGAAGATACAGAAGCCTAAACACATGGATGAGCAGGTTAAGAAACAGCTCCTTTCTGGCCATTATCACACTGTTGAATGGACTCTAGCCTCAAATAAGGTAACCTGTATGCCTCCAAGGCTTTTTGATCTGTACATCCTTCGTTTGCTGTGATCTGCCTGTACCGCTTGTACACATAGCTTTTCACTGTATTTCGGTATACATAACAACAAAATCAAAATCAAATCAAATCAAATCAGCTGGCACACCAAGGGAGCACTTTTAGAGTGACTGGCTTGAGAGACAGAAAATCAAACAGAATGTGGTCTGGAGAAGGTGAGTAGGAGGACAGCAATTTGCAAATATTTTTCTGAAATGCCTTTCATTACCAAAATAAAATAAAAGATTTGTCAAACTTTTTTCAAAACGTGAGAAAGATGAATATTGGAAAGTGGTAAAAGAATGCTTCAAAAAGCTGGAGTAATGGGTAATGAATATTTTTATAAGATGGTATAGTAGACCTGAACATCTGGAGAGGAGCAAGACTATTGAAAAATGCTATTCAAATTCAAGACAGAGCTTCAAATTGAAGCATTAGGATCGGGGAGCACAAGAGACTGATTATTGTTCAGAACAGAACAGTTCATTCAGCTGGTGAATGTACTACAGGACACAACATTCATTTCCTTCAGCACTCGAGAACCACTTTCTCAAACCTACTAGTGACAGGCAATAAATGCAATCAAGCCAGATTGAGAACAGAAAACAAAAGCCCAATTAAGGGTGCACTGTGGCTGCATAATTTACAATGCGTTGTAACAACTCACTAAAGGCCATCTCAACAGCTCATTTCTTTCTCCAACTGCAAATACCAAAGACAATAATAGCATAACTGTGGGAACATTAGCTTGCATGCCATACTAATTTGCAACAAGTCACAGTTCCTTCATTACTGCTGAACCAAAATCCTAGAATTCTTAACACAAAGTATTGCGGAAGCACTTTTTATTTTTATTCATTTGTGGGATGTGGGCTTCGTTGGCTGAGCCAGCATTTATTGCCCGTCCCTAGTTGCCCTTGAGAAGGTGGTGATGAGCTGCCTTCTTGAACTGCTGCAGTCCACCTGCTGTGAGTTGATCCACAATACTATTACGGAGGGATTTCCAGGATTTTGACCCAGCGACAGTGAAGGAACTATAATTAAAAGAACTGTAGTGGATTCCTAACTGCGCTGGTCTACATTCTCACAGCAATATATCTAGCCTTGCCAGCATAGAGAACGAAAATAAAAGGGCAGGTGGGTAAAGGACTTGATGTGAAAGAAATAGACACAGAAGTTTGGGATGGGCCGTAGTTTCTGGAGAATGATAAATAAACAGACCAGAAGGTATAGGAACAGAATTAGGCCATCCAGTTCATCAAGTCTGCTCCACCACTGATTCATGGCTGATATGTTTCTCAACATCATTCCCCTGCCTTCTCCTCATAATCTTTGATCTCCTTACCAATTAAGAACCTAGCTACCTCTGTCTTCAAAACACTCAATGACTTGGCCTCCAAAGCCCTCTGTAGCAATGTGTTTTACAGATTAACCACCCTCTGGCTAAAGAGATTCCTCCTCATCTCAGTTTTAAAGGGTAATCCCTTTACTCTGAAACTGTGTCTTCTGGTATCTCTCTGACTTATGGAAACGTTTTCTCCACATGCCCTCTATCCAGGCCTCTTAGTATTCTCTAAGTTTCAATGAGATCCCTCCTCACAGAATTGAAGCATCCTTACAATGCAGAAAGAGACCATCCAGCCCATTGAGTATACCCCGGCTCTCCGAAGAATCCTAACCAGATTCACCTCCCCACCCACTCCGTCCCTGTAACCCCGCATTTACCATAGTCAATTCACCTAGTTGGCACTTCTTTGGATTGTGGGAAGAAACCACAGCACCCAGCGGAAGCCCACACAGACACAGGGAGAACATCCACACATACAGTCATCCAAGTTGGAATTAAACCGGCCTCCCAGGAGCTGTGACATAGCAGTGCTAATCACTGTGCCACCCTCATCCTTCTAAACTCTATCTAACGCAGGCCCAGAGTCTTCAACGGCAGTAAAGGTTTCGACAGCCAAGATGCCATAAAAAAGGTTATGGTAAGTAAAGTCAAGCAATGGAGGTGGACATTGTAGTGATGAAAAGGTCCACGAGCTGGGCTGTTGGGAGTTTCACTGTGCAACGTATGCAAATTAGGAGACAAGTTTATTCTTGCAAGAAGCTTAGGTCACTCCTGGATCAGCTGTGATCTTTTGAGTAGCAGAGCAGGTTCAAGGGTCCTGCTCCTCATACTTACGTTTTGATGATGCTGAAATCATGAGAGTGAAGCAGCAATTTCAGTGAAAAGCGTCAAACAGAGTATAGATGAAGATGGAAAAGCATTAAGGAATGAAAGACAGTTGATGTAAAGGATGAGATGAGAGATATTTTGGGGAGAAACTGGAGTCAGAAAACTTGACAGGCAATCGACAAGGAATTTTAGGCAATGGACTGGAACAGGGTGACATGCATCAACCGATAGGAGGAAGAGATCAAAACATGCCCCCATAATAAATACACTAGTAACTGCATTCTTTGGAAAGACAGGTTGGCAAAAGTATTAGCAGGTGAGGGGATGGAGCATGGTTCAGTTATAATTATATTACATGTAGGGAAAAGGAGTGAGGACAGATGGATAAAAGAAATAACTTTTTTTTTAGTAAGAATTAAAACAAAAACAAATATCTACAAGTTTATGGAAGTAATAATTTACACCAACTGCTTTTACCTCTAGGTTTTCTCCATCTGTGGCGTCTTTCGCTTTAGAAATTGGAAGAGGAGGGGACACTGGAGGAAATGGACTGGAGATTATTTGGGAGCTAAAACAGAATGTTCAGAGTACAAATTAATAATTTAAAAAGACCAACAGTGTCAAAAATCAAGAACAAGAGTCCACAGGCAAACAACTGCCAAATACGATTTGCACTTTTTTGACGTATCATTCATTGTTAATTAAATACAATATCGAGCAACATTGATATACTAAACATATTCAGAATATTAACATTATGTGCGAGCGTGAGCAAGAATAGCTTCAGCAATTGTGTTTTGCAAACACCAAAAATGGTCAGATTCTGAACTTGAATACAGTTACACGGCACCAGAAGTCACATGACACCAGGATATAGTCCAAGAGGTTTATTTGAAATAACAAGCTCTCAGAGCGCTGTTTCTTCGTCAAGTGAAGTGAAGTGAAGTGAAGCACACAGGCACTGAATTTATAGACAGAGAGATCAAAAGATAGTACAAATGGTGTGAACGGAGTGTTGACAGGCTGAATAACAAGTCTCTACAGGTGGTCAAAAGTGTCAGGTGGTGTGAGTAAAGCGTTACCAGCTGAATAGGAAGTGAAGGGATGCCCTATGATCAAATTAATTGAGGCAGAGAAATAATTACAAAAAATTAAAAGTAAGATGATGCTGGAGACAAACCAAATGGCTGGAATAACATAATAGGTATAAGAGTCAGAGGCGAAGATCTAACCAAAGTAACAAGTAATCTAAAAACTGTACAAACTAATTAAGATAGAGAGATCATAACAAGTTATCAAGGCAGGGCAGGCAATGGCCTAGTGGTATTATCACTGGACCGTTAATCCAGAGACCCAGGAAATGCTCTGGGGGCCCAGGTTCGAATCCCTCAAATGGAGGGATTTGAATTCAAAAAAGAAATCTGGAATTAAGAGTCTAACGATTGCCATGAATCCATTGCCAATTGTCAGGAAAAACCCACCTGATTCACTAAGGAAAGAAAACTGCCATATCTACCTGGTCTGGCCTACATGTGACTCCATACTCACAGCAATGTGGTTAAATCTTAACTGCCCTCTGGGCAATTAGGAATAGGCAATAAATGCTGCCTACCCAGCGACGCCCTCATCCCGTGAATGAATAAACAAAAAAGGTGATGGTGTCAAAACAGAACAGTAAGGAAGATTTTACAAATACAGAACAGTATGGCGGGTTACGTGTAGCATGACATAAACCCAATTACATAGTTACACAGCAATATACTGCCTTCTGAAACATCAGAATATTTATCTTGAAAATGCATAACCATTAATTTGGAAGACTATTTTTGACCAACTTTCCCCCAGCAGTCACATGAACAATCGGGGGATAAAAAAGAGCCTCTGGTCTGCCAGACTGTTACCCAGAACTGCGTAGTTGTTTGCACCACAATATATAACATTACATGATGCCCAAATGTCATGTGATTCTGAGGTTTCAAAAAAAAACAGATGAAACTCCCAAATTAATTTGGGAGGAAAAAAAATTCAAGTTATCAGAAACAGGTCCTGCTCTGATTGAAGTAATTATGCTCAGCATTCCAATTGAGGGCATCTTTGGCAAACAGGCTTCTGCTCACCAGGGTTGCCACTCTGACATTCCAACACTGGGGTCAACTGCATGCCAGAGGCCAAGTTTTTTTTAATTTATTCATTTGTGGGATGGGAGCGTCGCTGGCTGGCCAGCGTTTATTGCTTGTCCCTAGTTGTCCTTGAGAAGGTAGAGGACAGCTGCGTTCTTCAACTTGCTGTGGGTTGACCCACAATGCCATTAGGGAGGGAATTCCAGGATTTTGACCTTTGAAGGTATAGCGATATATTTCCAATGGTGAGTGGCTTGGAGAACTTGAAGGTGGTGGTGTTCCTATATATTTTTTTCCTTTTAGATGGAAGTGGTCATGGGTTTGGAAGGTGCTGTCTGAGGATCTTTGGTGGATTTCTGCAGTGCATCTTGCAGATAGTACACACTGCTGCTACTGAATGGTGGTGGTGAAGGGAGTGGATACTTGTCGATGTGGTGCCAATCAAGCAGGCCGTATTGTC